AGGCGTGATTCCACCAATCACCCTCCCTCCACCCATTCTCTTCCCTCCCCTCCCCTCCCTCTTCACTTTTCCCATATTCTTGGGCTATAATTGGGTTATAGCTTTCCTATGAAAGCTATAAATTAGTTTTATAGTAGGGCCGAGTACATTGGATACTTTTTCTTCCATTCTTGAGATACTTTGCTAAGAAGAATACTTTCTAGCTCCATCCATATAAACATGAAGGAGGTAAAGTCTCCATATTACTTTAGGGCTGCATAGTATTCCATGGTGTACATATACTATAATTTATTAATCCATTCGTGAGTCGATGGGTACTTGGGCTTCAAGTTCTGAAATAGCATCAACTATACGAACAATAGTCAAATTGAAAAATAGCCAAGGACTCTATTCCATTCACAGTAGTGCCAAAGAAGATGAAATATATGGGAGTTTACCTAACAAAGGACATGATAAAGAGAACTATGAAACTCTAAGAAAAGAAATAGATGAAGATGTTAACAAATGGAAAAACATACCATGCTCATGACTGGGAAGAATCAACATTGTTAAAATGTCCATACTACCCAAAGCAATACATGATTTTATTGCAATCCCTATTAAAGCTCCACTGTCATACTTTAAAGATCTCAAAAAAATAATACTTTGTTTTATATGAAATCAGAAAAAAAACCTTGAATAGCCAAGACATTACTCAGAAATAAAAACAAAGCAGGAGTAATTGTGCTACCAGACCTCAGACTATGCTATAAATCAATAGTGATCAAAACAGCATGGTACTGGCACAAAAACAGAGAGATAGATGTATGGAACAGAATAGAGAACCAACAGATGAACCCAGATACTTACCATTATTTGATCTTTGAAAAGTCAATTAAAAACATTGAGTGGGGAAAAGATTCCCTATTTAACAAATGGTGGTGGGCAAACTGGCTGGCAACCTGTAGAAGACTGAAACTGGACCCACACCATTCACCATTAACTAAGATAGACTCTCACTGAATTAAAGATCTAAACTTAAGACATGAAACTATAAAAATACTAGAAGAAAGTGCAGGGAAAACTCTTGAATAAATCAACCTGGGCAAATATTTTATGAGGAGGACCCTCTGGGCAATTGAAGCAATATCAAAAACACACTACTAAGACCTGATCAAACTAAAAACTTCTGCACAGCCAAGAACACAGTAAGTAAAGCAAGAAGACAGCCCTCAGAAAGGGAGAAGATATTTGCAGGTTATGTCTCTGACAAAGGTTTAATAACCAGAATCCACAGAGAACTCAAATGTATTAGCAAGAAAAGAACAAGTGATCCCATCTCAGGGTGGGCAAGGGACTTGAAGAAAAACTTCTCTGAAGAAGATAGGTGCATGGCCTACAGACATACGAAAAAATGCTCATCATCCTTAATCATCAGGGAAATGCAAATCAAGGTACTTTGAGATATCATCTAACTCCAGTAAGATTAGCCCACATCACAAAATCCCCAAATCAGAGATGTTGGTGTGGATGTGAAGAAAAAGGAACATTTCTACATTGCTGGTCGGAATGCAAACTAATACATTCCTTTTGGAAAGATGTTTGGAGATCACTTAGGGATCTAAAAATACGCCTGCAATTTGATCCTATAATTCCCCTACTAGGTATATATCCAGAAGACCAAAAATCACATTATAACAAAGATATGTATACCAGAAGGTCTATTGCAGCCCAATTCATAATTGCTAAATCATGGAAGAAGCCTAAGTGCCCATCGACCCATGAATGGATCTATAAATTGTGGTATATGTACACCATGGAATATTATGCAGCCTTAAAGAAAGATAGAGACTTTACCTCTTACATGTTTACATGGATGGAGTTGGACCATATTCTTCTTAGCAAAGTATCTCAGGAATGGAAGAAAAAGTATCCAATGTACTCAGTCCTACTATGAAACCAATTTATAGCTTTTATATGAAAGCTATAATCCAATTATAACCCAAGAAGAAGGGTAAAGGGGAGAGAGAGGGGAGGTGGGAGGATGGGTGGAGGGAGAGTAATTGGTGGAACCCCGCCTATGGTGCATCTTACAAGTGTACATGTGAAATTTACTAGGTGTAGAATATAAATGTCTTAACACAGTAACTATGATAATGCCATGAAGGCTGTGTTGACCAGTTTGATGAAAGCACTTCAAATTGTATGTAAAACCAGCACATTGTACTCCATGATTGCCTTAATGTACACAACTATGATTTAATTTTTTTTTAAAGGCTATGATAAAAAATTTCTATTGAAAGTGACTATTGGGGCTAGATGCAGTGGCTCACACCTATAAACCTAGCACTCTGGGAGGCCAAGACAGGTAGATTGTCTGAGCTCACAAGTTCTAGACCAGCCTAAGCAAAAGCAAGACCCTATCTCTACTAAAAAATAGAAAAACTGAGGCAGGAGGATCACTTGAGCCCAAGAGTTGGAAGTTGCTGTGAACTATGATGCCACGGCACTCTACCCAGGGTGGCAGCTTGAGATTCTGTTTACAAAAAGAAAAAAAAAAGAAACAGATTAGGAAATGAAATGAGAATAACTTTGGTAAAGACAACACTAGATAGGGAGTCAGGGAAAGGATATTTCAGTGTGTGAAATTGAAGTTTAAGTAACTAGGTGTGGACTAAGAAATGTGTAGGGAAAACAGTGTGACAGGCAAAAGAACAGGAAGTGTAAGGACTCTGTGAGGGAAACCAGCTTGGTGTTTTGAAGACTAGCAGAGACTCAAGAGGGTAGATGAAGTAAGAAAAGGAAATGGGGGCCAGATCTCAGCCCTGGTAGTACTTGAAAGTAACTTGGGTTTTATTCAAAGTGTACTGGAACACTACCCAGTCTCATCTAGATCTTGGAGGAAGAAATAGTGAAACAAGTTTCAAGCTTGAGAAAACAGAGATAAACTTGGTGTATGGCAATAGCAATAAGAGTTAAATACTACCAGACTATTCCTTTAAAGGAGTGAGTCACATATTTCCAAAAGGTTTCTAACAGAAACAGTGGTTATTTGTCAGTAATGCAGAGATTCCCTCATTTTTATCATAAATGACTTTTATTGTGTTGAAATATTGTTCTTTCTTTACTCAGTTTCTCTCAGAATTTTTAAAATTATTTGTTACTATGAGGATACATACAATTAGCTTACACTACTTGAGTTTGTAAGGTAATATCCAAAGTCTGCATTGTAGTTGAGTCCTTTACCCTGGAAGTGTGCCATATAACCCTACATTGTAGCCCAAAGGTGAGAACTAATGAAACCCTCCTTTCCCTTTCTTGAATTTAATTGTGTTTTTCTCTCATATGGGCTTGTAGTTGTTGGTCTATTTTCAGATTAGTACCAAGTATATGGGATACTTGCTTCTCCATCTGATGATAGTTTACTTAGCAGAATATTCTCCAAATCCATCTAGGTAAATACAAAAGATGCAAAGTCTCCATCTTCTTCTATGGCTGATTCCTATTCCATGATATACATATACTACAGTTCATTAATCCCTTCATGGGTTGATGAGCACTTGGGTTGTTTCCAACTCTTCGTTATCGTGAATTCAGCTGCCACAAACATTTGATTGCAAATGCCCTTATGGTAAAAGAATTTTTTAACCTCATAAATCAATGGGCAAGGGACACAAACAGATATTTTTCCCAAGAAAACAGATGAATGGCCAACAAATATGTGAAAAAATGATCATCATTTGTAATCATCTGAAATGCAAATTAAGATCCTCTTGAGAGTCTACCTAAACCCGTGACAGTAGCCTGTGTCACAAGGTCCCAAAGTTGCAGATGCTGGCATGGGTATGGAGAGAGGGGTACCCAGGTGCACTTTGGTGGGATTGCAAACTAGTGCAGCCTTTGGGGAAAGAAATATGGATAATCCTTAAGGAACTAAAAGTAGACCTCCCATTTGACTCTGCAATCCCATTACTTAGGTATGTGTTCAAAAATTTTTTTAAATCATAAAGGGATGTTGAATATTTTGAATGCTTTCCTGACATCTATATGGTAAATGCTTGAGGTGATGGATATCCTAGCTATGCTGATTTCATCCTTACACACTCTGTGCCTGTGTCAAAGCATCATCAGTCCTATAATTAATATGACTATTATGTATGCAAAATAATTTTTAAAAATTTTAAATTAAGGAAAATAAATGCGCTGACTCAGAAGTCTATGCAGGATATATGTAACTTCAATAAAGTAAAAGGTCACAATTTTTAATTTAGATTGCCAAATGGCATTGAACATCTGGGCACCCTCCATATCCTGTGGGAGGCACGCCCATGTGACAGACATGGTTCACGGAGGCCTCTGAAAAAACTACTCCAGCATTCAGGAAGCTTTAATCTTCTTATATCCAACCTAAATCATCCTTGGGCCTAAATTTTATGATTCTTTCCTGGTTATAAAAATTTTTTATTAAAGGCATTTCACAAAGATCAGCATTCAGATTACAAGTACAATGAGTTACCACTGTCAGTTCCACACTGCTGCATAATGCACAGATTTTATAAGAGTGACTCTTATAAATGATGAAAAGTGTTCATAATCATTTTCAAGTCTAGGTGGTTCAGAATGTTGCCAAGGGCAATAATGCTGTTTCACACTTTGTGCTTTTAAACATGCAGATACTTCTGCCTCAAACCCCATTCCTCTCCCTGTATCAGCTAACTCCCACTCATAAACTGAAAAGTCTATAATCTTCTCCAAAAATCTTTTCCTGAAGCTTTGTTGGATCTGATTCAGATTGTTCATGTCTTCCTTTATGCACTACAACAAATAGATTTCTCATAGAAAACTATAATTTCCAATTCACATATCAAGCACTTGTATTTACTTTTAGCTCCCTAGAGTAAGAAATAGAGGTTAGCACATAACACAATGCAAGGTGCATGCCTCTAAGCAAATGTGTCAAAAATAAAGGAATAAATATATCACTTTATGAATACTTCAAAACAAAATAACGTGACACTCACCTGTCTGAAAGATAGCCATATATCAAACTTCCCACAATGGTTCCAGCCATAAATAGAGATTGAACCACTGATTTTTGTGACTCATATTCACATACTAGATCCCACTGAAAGAGAAAAAAAGTAGAATAGTGGACCTCAAAACATTTCAAAACAACTAAAAGTATATCACAAATGTCTTACCACAAAAACAAGTGAGGTGATAGTTATGTTAATTAGTTTTATTTTAGAATTCCACATGGTATGTCAAATCATCACATTGTACCCCATAAATGTATACAGTTATGATTTAATAAAAATTAAGTTAAAAAGGCCTGTAGCTCAGCAGCTAGGGTGCCAGCCGCATACACTGGAGCTAGTGGGTTTGAATCCAGCCTAGGCCTGCCAAACAACAATGACAACTGCAACCAAAAATTAGCCAGGCATTGTGGCAGGTACCTGAAGTCCCAGCTACTTGGAAAGCTGAGGCAGGAGAATTGCATAAGCCCAAAAGTTGGCAGTTGCTATGAGCTGTGACACCATAGAACTCTACCAAGGGCGACCTAGTGAGATTATGTCTCATTAAAAAGAAAAAAAAAGTTAAAAAAAAAAAAAAAGACTTTGAGCCCATTAGTGAATACTGACTCAAAACTCCTACATAGAATGTGCATGACCTTCTGCTGTGATTATTTGCTTCCCTCTCTAGACAGACACTACCCATACAGACACTGTCCTCTAGTAGCCCACATTTGGAATATACTGAACCAAGTTCACCAGTTTAAGTGCTCCTGACTTTTTCTCTGAATTCATAACCTTCCAACAGCCTATATCTATAAGTCTATGTCTCTTTACTCATTTTATCTTCACACCATGAACTCCCTTTTTTGTATCAACATATATTTTCATTAAGTATTATAATTAAAAACCAGTAAAACCACAAATTAAAAATTCTTTATCAAAATTTTAAAAACAGTGTGCAAAATTTTGTAGGACAGCCACCCTCAGCACATAGGTTACATAACGGCTCTGCCTCTGGCTTCCCTTATCTGTGATTTCAAATACTACAATAATGCTCATGTTTGATCACATATCAACTCATTCAAAAAGCTTCATAGCTACTGGTGCCTATGTTCTATGCCCAGAGGTTCTGGTTTATTTTCTCTGTGTTTTAGTTTGGCAATGAATATTAAGATCATCTGACCTAGCATGACATTTTCCTACTTAAAATATTATAGGTTTTTCTCACTAGATTAAATAACATAATATCAGGTTTATGTTTACCTTTTCAGTTTATTACCCTTAATACTTATACACTTGACTGCACTGTAATGTAGATAGCAATTGCTACCTGGTCAAGGAATGAAGAAAGTTCTGATGGCAGTACCCATCTGGGGACTAAATGTGTGAAGCAATTGCATTCTTTGTGTTGCCTCCAAACCCCTGAATAGCCTAAGGAGAACGTGAAGCTTCTTACGTCAGTCACAATGGTGGAGGAGAAGAAGCTTCGATCATACACCCAGCTGTCCACACACGGCTCTGTGTCTGGCTCACTCATATTTGAGAAGCTTCCATTTGGGTAAAGGAGCTGCCACTGGGGATAGATGAAACGACGACACTTCTGTGGCCTCAGGTTGGAGTCCAGCGGGATGGAGATTCTCAGAAGGGCATCTTGGCTGAGGGTCCCAGTGTCATTGTCAGAAACAGTGTCATTGTCGAGGATGTCAACCCAGCAGCGATGACCAGGGATGGCTGCAGTGAAGTTCTCCAGCAGAACATGAGGGTACAGTAGGATGCTGATGATGCAACAGAATGCCAGCTGAAGGATCTGGAATCTCCCCAGGCTTCCAACTTGATCCAGCAGTGCCTCAAAGGCCATCGAAACTGAACAGGTGATCCCCAAGAGTCAGCACAGTGACCTTATGGAGATCAGTTCACAAGGAGAAAATGTTTCCTTCTACTAAACGCATACTAATCCTGTGTTGATTCATACTTAAAAGCAAACTGCTTTATGATGTTTTTGAGCAAAGAAAAAGAGATTTTGACTGGCTAGGACTGAAGTTTGATTAAAGATTAATGAAAATTTGTAATCTTAGTTAAACAAAAGGGAACATTGGGTAAAAATGTTCTTTCTATAAATGAACTTTTCCTTAAGTTCAAATCACACAAGTGATAGTCATTTTAAAACTTTTGAGGCTCAGTGCCTGTGGCTCAAGTGGCTAAGGCACCAGCCACATACACCTAAGGTGGTGGGTTCGAATCCAGTCTGGGCCCACCAAACAACAATGATGGCCGCAACCAAAAAATAGCCGGGCATTGTGGTGGGTGCCTGTGGTCCCAGCTACTTGGGAGGCTGAGGCAGGAGACTCGCTTGAGCCTAGGAGTTGGAGGTGGCTGTGAGCTGTGATGCCATGGCACTCTACCCTGGGGGACAGCTTGAGGCTCTGTTTCAAAAAAAAAAAAAAAAAACTTTTGAAGTGGCAAAATGAGTATAAAAGGCTGAGCGGGTGGAAATAGTGACTTTTTCAGAGATGGAGTCTCACTTTATTGTCCAGTCTCTCAACAGAATGGAGTTCAATTGCACCACTATCTCAATGTATCACTTATTCACTGTATCTCAAAGTCCTAGGCTCCACAGAATCTTGTGCCTGAGTTGCTAGGAGTTGCTAGGACTAGAAGTGGGAGATATCATGTCTGGCCATGTCTTAAATCTCATTGATTGTTATTTACCCAAAGGAAATAAAAAGACATTTTATCATAAAGGCATTTGCACTAGAATGTTTATAGCAGCATGTTCCCCAAAGCAGCATTGCAAAGATCTGGAAACAACCAAAGTACCCATCAATAGTGGATTAATAAAATGTGGTATATGAATACCATGGAGTATGATTCTGCCATAAAAATGTGATCTAGTATTTTTAGCCACAACTTGGATAGAACTGGAGATGATTCTTCTTAATGAAATATCACAAGAATGGAAAACAAACACCACATGTACTCAATATTAACTTGAAACTAGTTTATTAACTCTTATGTGCACATATGGAAGTAAAACTCAACAGAAATCAAGTAGGTTCAAGATGAGAGGAGCAGTTGGAGCATTAATACCTAACTGGCACAATGCACATTTTCTGAGTAAAGTGCATGCTTTGAGTTAAAAAATGTATAAAAGAAAACAAATAAGCAAAAACTGTATACCATTGTAATATTCTGAAATAAATACATAAATAAAATAGAAAAAAAACAATTCTCACTTAACTAAGTGACTCAATTCTATTTCAAAGGTCAACTAAAAGATTTGACTTAACCACTTACTATTTCAAAGGGTTTGCTTGTTAGAATTCAACCTTGCAGTTTGGGGAATGGCAGAGGAGGAAAAGTGAAAGCAAGTAGTGAAGCCCTCACAGGGCAGGAAAATTCAAAGAAAGAGCAATCTGACTTACCTAGCTATCTGAATCAGAGAGTCTTTATGGAAAAGGAGAGGCTGGTTTATCTAGGCAAGATTAATCCAAATCAGTTTTATCCAACTCATGTCACCAAAAGAGTTGGTTTTCAAGGCAGCTGCCTGAGTCCTAAAATGTCACGATTTCAGGCAGCTGCCCAGGTTCTTGGTTCTTAGAGTGTTCTTGGTTGAAAACTGGCTGGCACCCCAAAGTAAGGCAAACATGAAACAAAGTTTGCTGAGGAAAAGAAAGATAGGTTTACAGAATAAAAGCAAGATACAGGCTTACAGAGCTAGATACTTTCACCATAGATAGCAAATAGGCCTCCACTGTTGCAACAAGGAAAAAGGCATGAGTTGTACCTGCCAATTCTTTTTTTTACTGTCTGAATCAGGCTTATGTCATTGTTCAGATGTCACTCTGAAACCTGAGTCTTAACTTGCACTCACACCTTCCATGAGCCACAGTAAAAGCCCATTGAGAGGTATGGACCACAATGTAGATTTAAACTAATGGCTTAATAATTAGTCATAAGGCTATTCTGGGTCACCTTTAAGACTCTGTTTTACCTGTGACTAGGCTATAGGGTGTTCTACATTGTTCTGCAGTAGGCATGCTATATTCTTATTGGTAGTTTGGTAGGATGTTCCTTCTTCCCCAGGTGTAAGCATTCACTTGGGACAAAATTAAGGTGAGAGGAACCAAGATGGTGGCCTGGGACCCCACCTTTGTCCTCCTTCTCTTGGAAAGCTATGATTCTTAGACATCTACTTAACAATCCCAAGAGATAGGTGGGCAAGAATAACAATAAGCATTTTTTTTGTGAAGAACTAATTGGCACATATCCAAAAATTTGTGTAGGCACCAGAAGAGTCCATCACTTTAAGAAGTTGGGGGTTAATCCAGCAACACATCAAACAAATTATACACTATGACCAAGTGGGTTTTATCCCAGGATCTCAAGGCTGGTTCAACATATGCAAATCTATAAACGTAATTCACCACATAAACAAATTAAAAAATAAAGACCATATGATCCTCTCAATTGATGCAGAAAAAGCTTTGACAATATCCAGCATCCATTCATGATTAGAACACTTAAGAGAATTGGCATAGAAGGGACTTTTGTCAAATTGATAGAGGCCATCTACAGCAAACCCACAGCCAATATCGTATTGAATGGAATTAAATTGAAATCATTTTCACTCAGAACCAGGCAATGCTGCCCATTGTCCCCATTGCTCTTCAACATCGTAATGGAAGTTTTAGTCATAGCAATTAGGGAAGAAAAGGCAATCAAGGGTATTCACATAGGATCAGAAGAGATCAAACTTTCGCTCTTCACAGATGACATGATTGCATACCTGGAGAACACCAGGGACTCTTCTACAAAACTCTTAGAAGTGATCAAGGAATACAGCAGTGTCTCAGGTTACAAAATCAACACCCATAAGTCAGTAGCCTTTATATATACCAACAATAGTCAAGCTGAAAAAACAGTCAAGAACTCTATTCCATTCACAGTAGTGCCAAAGATGAAATATTTGGGAGTTTACCTAACGAAGGACGTGAAAGATCTCTATAAAGAGAACTGTGAAACTCTAAGGAAAGAAATAGCTGAAAATGCTAACGAGTGGAAAAACATACCTTGCTCATGGCTGGGAAAAATTAACATTGTTAAAATGTCTATACTACCTAAAGCAATACATAATTTTAATGCAATCCTTATTAAAGTTCCATTGTCATACTTTAAAGATCTCAAAAAAATAATACTTAATTTTATATGGAATCAGAAAAAAACATGAATAGCCAAGACATTACTCAGAAACAAAAATAAAGCAGGAGGAATCACACTACCAGACATCAGACTATACTATAAATCCATTGTGATCAAAACAGCATGGTACTGGCACAAAAACAGAGAGGTAGATGTATGGAACAGAATAGCGAACCAAGAGATGAACCCAGGTACTTACTGCTATATGATCTTTGACAAGCCAATTAAAAACATTGAGTGGGGAAAAGATTCCCTATTTAACAAATAGTGCTGGACAAACTGGCTGGTGACCTGCAGAAGACTGAAACTGGACCCACACCTGTCACCACTAACTAAGATAGACTCTCACTGGATTAAAGACTTAAATTTAAGACATGAAACTATAAAAATACTAGAAGAAAGTATAGGGAAAACTCTTGAAGAAATTGGCCTGGGCGAATATTTCATGAGGAGGACCCACCTGGCAATTGAAGCAACATCAAAAATATACTACTGGGACCTCCTCAAACTAAAAAGCTTCTGCACAGCCAAGAACACAGTAAGAAAAGCAATCAGACAGCCCTCAGAATGGGAAAAGATATTTGCTGGTTATGCTTTCAACAAAGGTCTAATAACCAGAATCCACAGAGAACTCAAACGTATTAGCAAGAAGAGAACAAGTGATCCCATCTCAGGGTGGGCAAGAGACTTAAAGAGAAACTTCTCTGAAGAAGACAGACACATGGCCTACAGATATATGAAAAAATGCTCATCATCTCTAATCATCAGAGAAATGCAAATCAAAACTACTTTGAGATATTATCTAACACCAGTAAGATTAGCCCATATCACAAAATCCCAAAATCACAGATGCTGGCAGGGTTGTGGAGAAAAGGGAACACTTCTACACTGCTGGTGGGAGTGCAAACTAATACATCCCTTTTGGAAAGTCATATGGAGAACACTTAGAGAACTAAATATAGATCTGTCATTTGATCCTATAATTCTGCTAGGTATATATGGAGAAGACCAAAAATCACGCTACAATACAGATATCTGTACCAGAATGTTCATTGCAGCCCAATTCATAATTGCTAGGTCACGGAAGAAGCTCAGTGTCCATCAACCCATGAATGGATCAATAAATTGTGGTATATGTACACCATGGAATACTATGCAGCCATAAAGAAAGATGGAGAATTTACGTCCTTCACGTTTACATGGATGGAGCTGGAAAATATTCTTCTTAGCAAAGTATCACAAGAATGGAAGAAAAAGTATCCAATGTACTCAACCCTATTATGAATCTAATTGTTAACTATCATAGGAAAGCTATAATCCAATTGTAGTCCAAGAATATGGGGAAAGGGGAGAGTGAGGGGAGGGGAGGGGGGAGGATGGGTGAAAGGAGGGTGATTGCTGGGTCACCAGCAGGGTGATCACACCTATGATTTATCCTATAAGGGTACATGTGAATCTTTCTAAATGTCAAATATAAATGTCTTAATACAATTATGAGAACAACATGATGGCCATGTTGGTCAATTGGATGAAAGTATTTCAAATTTCAAATTATATATGGAAACAACACACTGTATCCCATGATAGTATTAATCTGCACAAATATGATTTAATAAAAAAAATAAAAGAAGTTGGGGGTGTTCTTAGAATGTAGGCAAATATGTATGCTATATAATGCCCATAGTGGGGAATCTGGTAAGCAGAATTACCAAGATGCCATAATGGGCAGAGAAGAGATTGGCATGAAGTCTGTGGTGACATTTGTAGAAAGGCAGTAGAAGTATG